CCTTTTTCCGTGTGTATGTGTGTGCGTACCGACCGTACTCTTTCCCTTTCTACAGCCAGACCCAATGCAATGGTTTTTATTGCACACATACGTTTTTTAAATATGTGTATTTAAATGTGGGTGGTTAGACGTGACTATGTGAAGCTAAGTTGGGGGTAAGGTGGGATTGGTAGCTGCCGGTAGCTACATCACATTTTCAGAACATGAATAACTAAATACTTGTCTGTTGGCTGTCTTTTTTTTTTTCGAAAAAGAAAGCCATTAAAAAGCGAAACAGTAAATGATTTCCTAAAATAAAAACGTTATGATGAAGTGGAGAAGGGAGGATGATGATGATGATGACAATTTAGGTCAAAATGCCGGATGACAAAAAAAAAACACAAGAGAACACAAAATGTAGCAATGCATTTACATTGTACCTTAATAGACCTCATGAAGTTGGCACGTTGGGGTGTGGGGAACAAAAAACCTAAATAAACGTTTAAAAGCACACAAGAAGATCTACCGATCTTCCAGGGAAGTCATAGAGATTTTCATGGGAAGATCTATAAACCTTCAAGGGTCTATAAACCAATGGTAAAACCAACAGATCTTCAAAGGAAGATCTACAAATTTTCAAGGGAAGATCTGGAGATCTTCAAAAACTAAGTTGCAGGTCTTTATCTCCAGAAAGATCTGCAGATCTTCAAAAAAATCTTTAAGGGAATATGTGCAGATCTTCAAGGAAAGATACAGGGCCCACAGATCTAAAGATTTTCCCTTTTTTTCTTCAGGAGAAAATTTCAAGAGAAAATCTACAGATCTTCAAGAGAAGGTCTACAGATCTTCAAGAGAAAATCTACAGATTTTCAAGAGAAGATATTTAAGAAAACATATACAGATTTTCAAAGGAAGATCTACAGATCTTCAAAAATAGTTCTACACATTTCCAAAAGAACCTCCGAGGGGAAGATCTTAAAAAGAATATCAATAGGTCGTCTTGGGGAGATATACCGATTTTTAACAGAAAATCTACAGATCTTCAACAGAAGATCCACATATCTTCAAGGGAAGATCTACAGATCTTCAATAAAAGATCCACATATCTTCAAGGGAAGATCTAGAGGTCTGTAAGAGAAGATCTAGAGATCTTAAAGAGAAGATCTAGAGATCTTCAAGAGAAAATCTAGAGATCTTCAAGAGAAGATCTAGAGATCTTCAAGAGAAGATCTAGAGATCTTCAAGAGAAGATCTAGATATCTTCAAGAGAAGATCTAGAGATCTTTAAGAGTAGATCTAGAGATCTTCAAAAGAAGATCTGGAGATCTTCAAGAGAAGATCTGGAGATCTTTGAGAAAATATCTAAAGATCTTCAAGGGAAGATGTAGAGATCTTCAAGGGAAGATCTATAAATCTACAAAGGAAAATCTACTGATCTCCAAGAGAAGATCTTTGAGGTCTCCAGGGGAAGATGTACAGATCCGCAAATATTCAAAAGAAGATCTACAGATTTTCAAAGGAAGATCTTCAGATTTTCAAAGGAAGATCTTAAAGAAAAGATCTACATATCTTAAAAGGAAGATCGGCTGATCTTCTAAAGAAGATCCACAGAGAAAATCTACAGATCTTCAAGAGAAGGTCAACGATCTTCAAGAGAAAATCTACAGATCTTCAAGAGAAATTCTCAGATCTCCAAGAGGAGATCCATAAACCTTTACGAGAAGATCAATAAATCCTCAAAGTCAGATCTACAGATCTTTAAGTGAAAAAATATAGATCTTAAAAAGAAGATCTACTTCCCTTGAAGATTTGGGGATATTCACCTGAAGATATGTAGATCTTTCCTTAAAGATTTGGAGATCCTCTCCTTGTAGATCTTGCTTTGAAAATCTGCAGATCCCCTATCGTAGATATTCTTTTAAAGATCTGTATATTTTCCCTTGATCTTCTTCTTTTCTTTGGGAGATCTTCTCCTAGAAGATCTGTACACCTTCAAAATTTGCATCTATTTAAATGAAAATCTACAAATATGTAGAATATCTTCCTCTCCACCCTAATATATCAAACAATTTTTTTGCATACAGTCAAAATTCTTTGAAAGAAAAGCGAAAATGCAAAGAAAAACATGTAAATGCGTCGTGTCTTCAGCGGTACATTCATCTGTGCATGATGATGATATTGCTTGTTAATAAAGTCAACAGCCGGACCACATGTGTCGCCATGAATAGGAAAAAAAGAAATTCCGGAAAATTCTTTTTGGACAAAAGTCTGGCTAATGGCCAAATGGAAGATACAGTTAATACAATGTTGACATCACAAAGAGATCTTCAATAATGTGTGAGATGGGCAAAAAAAAAATATTGTAACCACAATTTTTTGATTTTTTTAAGGAGTGGGTTATTTATGTGGATTTAAAAAAAAAAATGTGATTCATGGTATAATATTTAAATTTAATAAGATGTAAGTAAATAATTACGAAAATTAATTAATGCTAAAAACATAATACATTTAATTCTCAAAACAAGGATATATTTAATGTTGTTCAATTCATTCCAAAATAGACTGGGCCATGGTCTGTTGTGTTAATTTTGGTGTCAGTGTTAATTTTGGCGACCGAAATATGCCCTCAGTTTATCATCGTTGTATAAATTATTTAGTGGTCTCCACTGCTCAATGCAAAGTCAATATATCCCGGGTTCAAGTATACCTGGGCGTTCAAGTAAAAAATACACACTTATAAAAAGTGTTGACCGCGTGGTATTTACTTGTTTTCTTTTAGAGAAACATACTAGTTTAAGACTACACTTTTGGACAAGGTCAAAAATATCAGTCGTCTTAACCTACAGATGTATATCCTCAGCCAATGTTCTATTATTTAAATATTTTTCGTCTTCTATTATGATTATTCAAATTTTTGATCCTCTATGGAGTAGTTTCCGAAGGAATGGGCCAATAGTGACCATTTCGTATTGGATCTAAATAAATATGATATAAATATTGCGACGTGACAGTTTCGGACTATATTTCTTACTTCCTTCACTTTATATGAGACAAGTGATAATTTTTAGACAATCTTAAAATGTGCGTGAGGTACAAGATGTAGCAAGTTATGACAGATAAAAGTATTGAAATTTGCGATCCTTTTTGGGTGAGATACCAGAATGGGTACCTCACCATCTTCACAACAGATCTTGTGTTCGTAAAAATATTTGTGTGTGTGAACGTTGAAGAGAGTTGAATGCTTATTCGCTTTCTTTGAGCGTTTGTTTTTCAAAATCTTAAACCCTTTGTGGAGGAGGTACCAGAAGAAATGGTCCGATCCCTCCCTACTTTACAACAGATCTTATGTTGATAGAAATATTGCGATGCTCCAAGTCCGAATGGAATCGGATGTTAATTTCGCGTTTTATGAGCTACATGGATACTCAAAATGTTGACCCGTTGTGGGGGAGGTACCAAAAGGAGTGGACCGATATATTCCATCTTCATAGTAGATCTTGTGTTTATAGAAAAAGTGGGATGTCTGAAATATTAAGAGGTCTAGATTCTTATTTCAGATTTTACAATCGTATTGGTTATTTAAAATGTTGACCCTTTGTTGAGGAGGTAGCAGAAGGAATGCCATCTTTATAACAGATCTTGTGTTGATGGAAGTATTTCGATGCTCCAAGTGCGAATGAAGTCGGATGTTAATTTCGTGTTTTGATATTCAAAATTTTGATCTTTTGTGGGGGAGGTACCCGAAGGAGTGGATGTTATAAGATTTATAACTATTCAAAATGTTGACCATTTGTGGGTGAGTTATTTGATGGAGTGGACCGATATTGTCCATTTTCGCATCCGTCCCTAGCACTAATGCAAATATAAGGATTTGCAAAGTTTGGAGTCTAATCGGATTATCCTTGCTGTTTCTGTGGAGTATCATATATATTTTTTTTAATATTTCCACCTTTTGTGGGTGAGGTACCAGAAGGAGTGGACCGATATTGTCCATTTCCGAACTCGATCTATGTTTGATAATAATTTATTTGTGGGTGAGTTATTTGATGGAGTGGACCGATATTGTCCATTTTCGCATCCGGCCCTAGCACTAATGCAAATATAAGGATTTGCAAAGTTTGGAGTCTAATCGGATTATCCTTGCTGTTTCTGTGGAGTATCATATATATTTTTTTTAATATTTCCACCTTTTGTGGGTGAGGTACCAGAAGGAGTGGACCGATATTGTCCATTTCCGAACTCGATCTATGTTTGATAATAATATTACGATGGACGATTTGGATCAAATCGGATACTGAAGAGTTATCATGCGCATCAGCCAGCCATCCAGACGGACGCACATCTCTAGATCGACTCCAAATGTCCTGAAATGGATTTGGTCCAAAGAGACCTAGGGTCTAAAACTGTTATTTCGATGAGGCACGTTTTGGCCGTATCAAATGATATATACCCTCTCTAGCCATATGGCTGAGGATATAAACATTGGTTTGTAAATAAGCAGAATTTTAGATTTTGGAGTAAAGATCATCCTGAAGTATTGCAAATGTTAGAGTTTGTTACGATTTATGGATTTGAGGCCTCATTGGACCGTACTTTTTCAAAGATGCTGCAAATCATAACATAAGTGCGAATGGTGAGCACTACCGAGGGAATGAAACCTTATTTCTTTTTTTTTTGCCCAAAGCTTAAAAACCTAACTTGCATGACATGTGATTTCAAGAAGGCGGAGCCGCATACGACGCAGCACTTGTAAGAATGGACTTATTGAGAGGCGAGTTCGGTGAACATTTGATTTCACCTTCGGGACCGATCCATTGGTCGCCTATTGACCATCTATGTTCTAATATCAAACTGCTAATGCATTTTTATTGTTTTATACCTTTGTTAATACAGACGGATTACCGAAGGCTAATTTCCGCAAATATCAAACGATATAATTTGGGATCCAAGCAAATGCCATCAAATGTTAATAAAATGCACCTATTGTTCATAATTTTAACATAAATACAATTTTAACTTACCATGTTAATAATCCCACGGCGACCAGTACAGCTGCAGTCCCCTGGAATGCTGGACTTTTGGGTAACTCCTTTAGCTGTTGCCACTTACTATCCAACTGTAAGCGATTGTTTATAGCAGCCTTTATCCTTTGCATGTTGACGGTTTTATGAATTAATTTCTTGGGGAAATTTTTTGTAACAAAATTTTCTCAAAATATTATTGTGCTGATTTTTTTTTTTTTTTTTTTTTGGTTTGACTTGTTTTCTTATTCTTTTGTTTTGTTTTTAATATTTTTTCACAATAAAATAAATATTATTGAGACAAGATGTTTTGGACAAATCACTTTTCTTTCTTTGATTTTCTCAAGGTTTTATTTGTTTTGTCGGTTTTTAAACCCCATTTGAATTTACACGTTCTGCTGGGAAAAAACAAAACAAAATGAATTTTAAATGAACAACAACAATAATAATAAAACAACAACAAGATCACGCGAAAAACAGTTCCAAAATATACAACGTCACAAAGAAATTGTTTTTTTCTTTCATCAATGGGACAAGATTTTCGAAAGCCATTTAAAATCGGGGAGGGGGAATATTTTTGGCGTCTGAATGAACTGCAGGCGAGGAGAAGAGAAGAAGCATGTTCCAATTTTTCTTTTTTTTTTTTCCTGCTAATGCCATACTTTTGTATTTTTGTCTATTTTGTTTGATGTCTCGTGCTGTTGTGATTTTGTTTTCCTTTCTATTTTTGAAAATTTGCAAATTTTTTTTCGTTGGACGAGGGGAAATCCTCACCATCCGCATTTTCATCGTCATCGACTGGCGGCCCAAAAGAACATCGACATCAGCACCGCCACCACCACCACCACACGTCATGTGAATTCGCAGTGTGTTTTTTTGGGTGTTTTATTCATTTCTTTTCCTTTCAAATGGCACTTTACCAAAAACGCAAAAAATATGAAATATTTAAAACGGAAAAGGCCCAAGTTTAGCCCCACCAAAACAAAAATGAAAAAACAAAACACACACACAACAAATGTGTCATTTCATCGACATGAATATGCAATAGAGCAATGTTTTTTTTTTTAAATATATAAATAAATGTTTGCCCCCCATCTTCTAATGGACAATACATTTTAACAACACAACACCCTTAATAGTCCTTTCCTTGAAATCCTTTCAAAATCGTTTTTCAAACACCCAATAAATATTGACAAGAGTTTACGCGATGCGTACTCTTTACGCAAAAGGTTAAAGTGTAAACACTGGGGGTTTTCATGTTATTCCTTTTTTATCAATTTAGTCATTTAATGTTGTTATCCTTGGTCAAAGGACACCGCTGAGCATTTATTTTTGTTTTACAAGTTTTTTTTACAACTAAACAGTCGAGCAACAAATGAGAGAAGCTCAAGGTAAACTCAACTGAAAACACTGGCAATGAGCAAAAGAGGATACCAACAGTTATTTAAAATAAAAGAGCGAGAGGGAGGGAGAGAGAGAAAATGCGTGGAATAAAAAGAGATTATGATGAGAGTTAAATGAATTCAGTGATGTCAACATGGCGATTTTGTCGGCAGATAGGAGAACTCAGTTTTTTTTTGGTATGCCATTGAAGGACCAATATTACCGTCCCTTTGCATGCAATTTTAATTTATCAATAAATTGGCTCTCTATGGAGTAACTATGACATCTAAACCTGAAAGAACAAGTTAAATAGTACAAGTCGGTTTTTGCCCAGCCTTAAGTTATAATTATGCTGAACTGCTGACCCTTTATTGGAGAGGTTCTGAAGCAGTTGGCCAATATTGTCAAATTCGTATCTGACATAAGTCTGATAAAATCGTGTCATATTTTAACTATATCATCTACTTCCTATAATTTTTATGAGACATGTGCAAGTTGTCCCTTTTTTAATATGAAAATATGCGTGAGGTACCAGAGGACCGAAATATTCCACTTCATCTAACACAGTTCAATATTGGTATGTGCAAAATTTAAAGGAAATCGAACATTTATATCCAATTTAATACGAAATCATAAATTCCGATATATTCCTTATTCATCTCAGATTTCTGGTTGAGAAAAATATTTAGGTACAGAAAGTTATATAGAATCACTTTCACAAGCTATGACAGATATAGGTATTGTAAATTGTGACCCTTTGTGGGTGAGGTACCAGATGTGGTTGACAAATATCTATCATCTACACAAAAGATTTTGCGTTAGCAAAAATGTTTGGATGTGTGAAATTTGAAGAGAGTTGGATGGTTCTAAAGCATTTTATGAGAGTTTTGCTTTTCAAAAATTTCAACCCTTTATGGAGGAAGTACCAGAAGGAGTGCGCCGATATATCCAATTTTTCTACAGCAGATATTGTACTAGTAAAAATAATGTCAGGATGCTTATTTCGGATTTTATAATCGTTTTGGTTATACCAATTTTTGGTCCTTTGTCGGGGAGGTACCAGAAGAAAATTTCCGATCTCTACCAGCTTCATAAAAAATCTTGGAAATATTGAGATGTACCAAGTCTGAATGGAATCGGATGTTAATTTCGGGTTTTATGAGCTTCTTGGGTATTCAAAATGTTGACCCTTTTTGGGGTAGGTACCAGCAGCAGTGGACCGATATGTGCCATCTTCACAGCAAATCTTGTGTTAGTAGAAATATGAAGAGTACCGGATACTTACTTCGGAATTTATAACCGTTTTGGTTATTCAAACTTTGACCCTTTTGTGAGAGAGGTACCAGAAGAAATGGTCCGATCTCTACCATCTTTATAAAATATCCTATGTTGATAGAAATAGTAAGATGTGCCAAGTATGAATGGAATCGGATACAGCTTTGTGGACCGACATTGTCATCTCCGAACTCGATCTAAATTTGATAATATTACGATACACCAAATTTGGTCCAAATCGGATACTCCCTTCGAGGGTTATCGTACGTATCAGCCAGCCAGACAGACGGACGGACGAACATCGGTCAAAATATCGAATATCGGGGGTTACCGTTGTATGTGGGCTATTTTTTCAAGGGGGTAAAGTGCTTAGAGTGAACTTCTGGTAAGAATTTTTAGGCAATTCCATTGAAAAGTGTAGCTAAAATCATCAAAATACCGAATATAGGGAGGTACCGTTATATGGGGGATATACGATATCGTGGACCTATGTAGACAATACTCTTCCAGGAGGTAAAGTGCTCAGAAGGACATATCGTGGACCGATATAGCCCATCTTCGAACTTTATCTGCCTGCAGACAAAAGACTAATTTTTGCAAAATTGTAGCTTCCTATTTGTATTTGTTTTGACTCTAGTGTGATTGCAACAGAAGGACTGACGGACAGGGCTTAATAGTCTTAGAATTTTACGCTGATCAAGAACATATATACTTTATTATGTCTAAAAAAATTATTATTTCGATGAGCTACAAACGGAATTACGAACTTAATATACCCTCCATGCCCTGTATGGTGGAGGGTATAAAAAATAAGACACCTGTTTTGGTGTTTTTAATGTTTATATCGTAAAGAAACCTAAATAGAGGGTGCAAGTTCCCGCCTCTTCCACACATTTGCCAATTTTCGGATTAAGATTCCTCGGAATCAGAGAATTTTAGGAATATACTGTCTTTGGCAGAAAAAAAAAACTACAAAATAACAATTTACGGGCAGCCCGATGCTTTGACAGCCAACAATTCTAAACCAAACTTTTTTTCCTTCTTAATAACCAAAACACTACCTGTGATTTAAATAGCGTTTTGCAAGGTTTTTCCGCACCACCACCCTCAAGTTATTGACCTTACCAACGATGGTAATGAAAAAAAAAGAATACAAGGAATGAAAGGGGGCAATGAAATTAATCGACTTCTTGTATTCAATGACAAATCCGCAGCAACATTGTTGTGGCCGGGTGATTCGTAATGGCACATAATGCAAATAAACTTTCGATTTAAATTGAAAAGAAGGAAAAGAAACGCAACACGAAACACCACAAGGCAATAAACAATCACTGAACAATGAGAAGCAAAAGAAGAACAAGAACAAGAAACAGAAACGTCATTTAGTGCTCGATACCATTTTGCCATTAATTATTTTAAATAAAACGCAATTGTTCTGACTTAGAGTTTTCTAAAAAAATATATAAATAAAATATTGCAAAAAGAACACAATGATTATACTAAGGTCTTGTTTTTTTATTTTCATTGGAGAAAATATACCAAAATATTTAAAATAAATGATAAAAATAAATATTGCTTCCATCGTACATAGCTATGTTGTTTTTCTTAGACATTTCAATTGTTTTTTCTCCTTTGTTTGGGAAATTTTGTTTTCATTTGTTTTGCGTGTTTATTTCTGCTTTAATGTTTTCGCCTCGAATATTTTGTTGTTTACATCCCTTTCCATTATTCGGTTTTCGAAGTTATCTACATTTTGGCAATACAATTTTACTACTAATCCAGGGTTTATTATTATCTAATGTTCTCTTTGACTCTCCCGCTCTCTTATTATCCTTTTTGTAATTTTTTCCAACCTTACTCTATAATTTTTCTATTCTCCGTTGATGGTCTCTCCCCTTCCATTCTTATACATACAATTAATGCTCGTAGGAAGTGAAAACGTGTATTACACTGCACCGTCTCTCTCACATTTTCTCTTCAATAGTGTTCGTATCCTTTTATAACCTTCCTCTATGGATTTCTCATTCACAGCTGTGATAGAATTTTGGCAACTCTTTCTTTTTGGAAACGAACAAAATTGTATTTTCGGGTTATTTTTTTCAGATTTTTAATTAGACAATTGAAGATTTCTAGGTCTTCTCCATAGCCTACATATCGGCCAGTAAGCCTATCTGACAACCAAGTTTACCATCATCAAAAGGCTGTAATTTACCTTAACTGCATAGAAAATAGGATTCCCATTCCCTATTTGAGGCCACCTTCTTAATTCTCTCATTAGATATGTTCCTTTTGACCGAATATCTGTCGAACAAAATATTTGATTATTCTGTTTTTCTTGGTATTAAAATAAACATTGTGCAATCCATTTGTAACCATCCTCCATAATATGGAGGCATAGTAACTTTGAAATATCGATCTACGGCTACTCCTAATTCTCGGACTTCATTTTCAGGTTCTTTGCAGGAGTGAAACTTCCTCTGAAAAAAGGTTTATTCGTAATCCCTTTATCCATTTTAAAATCCATCATTAATATTTGGATAATATTCGCCCGAAAATACCAAATTCAGCAAACTCAGTAGCCATAGCTGGAAGTGTATACGAAGTTGTCGATTGGGCGCCATTACTAGTACCTCAGACTGATGACGTATGAAACGACTTGAATGTCTGAAATTATTGCTCATGACTTTGTCGACAAGAAGACTCAGGTACTTCCCATACAAAATATTTATGGTCAGAACACTTCGGTTAGCATTAAATTTCCGGTTTGGGTCTGATCGAACCCTATTGAAATTTGGTAAGAATTGATTCAAATTTTGACATAACTCCCATATATATCTTAAAACGATTTCGGGTTAATTGTGCACCAAATGGCATTGGTCAGTCCTAATGATCGGATCAGATTTGGATATTGCTCCTATATGTATCCGATATCAGCTTTATTGTGCACCAAATGGCTAATATTTATGTATATGTTACGTCTTCGTGTCACCCTCTTTAACAATACCTCCCCATATTCGGTATTTTGACAATTTTAGCCACATTTTGGGATTTTAAAAATTATATCGGCATTTTCAGCGGATTTTTTTAAGTATTTTTATCCTGATTTCGGGAAACTATTTTTTATTTTTATAAGCCTTCCAACGATACATATACTGCCCATATATATCAGGTAAGTGGATCCAGGTACAACCCGGGTCTTGAACCCGGACTTTTGGTTCAAAAATGTGGGGTCCCGGGTCCATTTAAACGTGAATAAATCTTTCGTATCTCGTACCATCGCTCGTTACCGTGATACTGATAGCGTAGCCCGACATCAAGGAAGTGGACGGAAGAAAACAGCAACATCAGCAGAAATGGTTCGAAAATAAAGAAGCGACTTGATCGAAACCGGCGTCGAAGTGGCCGAAAAATGGCTCGTGAGCTAAACATATCCCAATATTCCATTTGGCAAATATTGAAAAATGAGCTCGGGGTAAGGCCATTGAAATTGCAAAAAGTGCAACAACTTACACCGCAACAGAAAGAAAATAGACTCAAAAGATCTAAAGATTTGTTTTTCTCCGATGAGAAAACATTCGTTGTGCAGCAGTTTGTAAACATACAAAATGATCGTGTTTACTTGCCAAAGAGGTCAGCTGAAAATGTGCACCTTCGGTTGGCCACCAGAACTCAAGCGCCGGCCATGGTGATGGCGAGGGCCGCCATAACAGTCGATAATCGCTCTCCGCTCGTATAAATCGACCGTGGCCTCAAAATAATTGCCGAATATTATCGCGAAAGTATTCTGGAGGGTGTATTAATGCCTTGGGCACCCACATCGCACTCAGCACGCGTCACCCAAGAATGGTTACAAAATTAAGGTTCCTCGCTTCATTTCCAGCTTACAATGGCCGCCAAAATCTCCAATCCGTTGGACTATTGTGTCTGGAGTATTTTGGAAAGCAAGGTTGGCACTAAAAAATACCGAAGTGTCGACCACCTCAAGCAAGCGCTTCGCCGGTAATGGGCCAAAACACCGCAACATTCGGGCAGCATGTGACGGTTTCATTGGCCGTTTGAAGGCCATAATTGCTGCCAAAGGTGATCAATTCGAACAAATCTAAACGTATTCTAAAATTTGACGCTATTTCCGACATTTTTTGCTTTAATTCAATAAAATTAAAAAAAAATTATGGCGTTTGACTTTGTTGCAGTTTTTTTTATCTCACCCTGCGTTATATCTTTAGAAACTACTCAAGAGTTACGATCATTTAATAGGTATATTTATTTGTTTTGGCTAGGACCTCGATTGCAATCGTCAAATCCACTAAATTCTTTCTATGCGAGAGCAGATTATCATCCTTGATTACTGAATTTGCTTAAATATATCGAACACCTCTGAGTAAACGACGTGAAATCATTAGATTCCATGTAAAATATAAATAGCAACCCTTGCACAATGGAAAAAACTGAAAAACTAAAATAAGACATTAGTGGTTGGGCTAGGGGGAGGGGGGAGGGGGGAGACAACAACCTAAAACACACACACACATCGAGACAACATGACATAATATTTAGGTGGGGGGTCATAAACATTGTATTGGATTTCTTTTGCTTCTTTTTCCTCCTCCTTCTTGGTTTTCACTGCTCTACCAAGTGGTATCCAATAAATTTCTGAACCGAAAAAAATACTAACACACCATTTCCTTAATTAATTCAAAAGGAAATTCTCATTATTTGGTTGTAATAAATGAATGCAAAAATTTTAATTCTTTGTTTTTCGAGTGATTTGTTTATTTTTGTGGCAGGTATTTTCCAATATTTATTAAAGAACAATAATAAAAATTGTTGAGATTCTTTTTTTTCGTTTTTGGTGGCGAGGAGGTTTGTTTATTCCAAATACCAAAAAGTATCTTTTGTTTGGTTGTTTGGATTGGTTTTAATTGCACTATTTTTTCGCAGTTGAGTTTGTTGTTGTTAGTATTATTGTTATTAATAGTCGAAGGTTTGTTGTTGCTTTTTTTTCAATCCGCTTCTTTTGTACACACAAGAAATACAAACAATCTTTGCAATAATATTGAATATGGTTTTGTTTTACTTTGTTGCGTTGGTTTTTTTCTTCAATTAACTCGATATTACAAAAAACAGAAAAAAGAATCACACTCAGCACTGAACCACTACTAAAAACAATCCACCAGAACGACGGACAACGTTGTAATACGCTCCAATATCGAAAAATTACTGATTGTCATGCGGTGTATTCGGATGGGATTTGAGTTGGGCCCCTTCATTCGGTTGTTTTTTGTTTTGTTTGGTACATTGTTGATGGTTGGCGATTTTGTTTTTGTTGCGCTCGCTCATTGCCTCTCTCGGAGAACAGCAATAGAAGCAGAAGAAAAGAGAGAGGGAGTAAATACAAATGTAGTCGGTGTTGCCAATAATGAGGAATTTTCCCCAAAAAAGGTTGTTTTTTTCAATGGGGAAGAAAAATGCAAATCGTTTACTTGGGGATTTGATCAGGAATTTAAACAAAACTAGTAAAAATAAGGAAAGAGCGTAACTTTGTATACCCTCCATGAAATATTATAATGTTAAGTGAATAATTAGTTTCCTTGCCGTGGATATACAGGGTGAGATTAAAAAAAAAACTGCAACAAAGTCAAATGCCATAAGTTTTACTTTTTATACCCTCCACCATAGTATGGAGGGTATATTAAGTTTGTCATTTCGTTTGTAACATCTCGAAATATACATTTTAGACCCCACAAAGTATATATATTCTTGATCAGCATAAAATTTTATGTCGATTTATCAATGTCCGTCCGTCTATCCGTCTGTCCGTCTGTGGAAATCACTCTAGCTTCCGAACGAAATGAACTAGGTTGATAAAATTTTACTCAAATGTGTACTATGTCTGCGGGACTTTTGGTATTGAAAATGTAGGTCCACGTCTTCGTATAGCCCCCATATAACGGTACCTCCCGATATTCGGTATTTTGATGATTTTAGCGACATTATTTACCGGAATTGTTTCAAATTTGGTATTTGACGTCTTTAATAGATACTACAGCATAAAACAGAAAATGGGTCATGTAGGTCCACGTCTTCGTATAGCCCCCATGTAACGGTACCCCCGATATTCGGTATTTTGATCATTTTAGCGACATTATTTACCGGAATTGTTTCAAATTTGGTATTTGACGTCTTTAATAGATACTACAGCATAAAACAGAAAATGGGTCATGTATGTCCACGCCTTCGTATAGCCCCCATATAACTGTACCCCCCGATCTTCGCTATTTTCATGATTTAAGCGACATTATTTACCGGAATTGTTTCAACTTTTGCATTTGAAGTTCGTAATGAATACTACAGCCTATGACGTAAAATTGTCTGTGCAGGTCCACGTCTTCATATAGCTCCCATATAACGGTACCCTCCGATATTCGGTATTTTGATGATTTTAGCGACATTATTTACCGGAATTGTTTCAAATTTCGCATTTGAAGTTCGTGAAGTTCGATATTGCAGCCTATGACAGAAAATTGCCTGTGCATTATAAACCTTTTTTTTCAAGTTTCGCATTTGAATATTGTAATAGCTTGTGACAAAAGTTGCCTATGCAGGTCCACATCGTCGTATAGACTCTAATATACGGCTACATTAGGTATTTTCAAGATTTTAACAGATTTTTAAGGGATTTTATTTATTTATTTTTTTTTTTTGAAGATTCTTAAATTTGTATCAAATGGTGGAAGGTATTCAAAGTTCGGCCCGGCCGAACTTACAGCTTTTTTACTTGTTTTTTTTTTTTTTTAAATTTTATTGAATGAAAGCAAAAGTTATTCAAATTTTAGAATAAGTTTAGATTTGTTCCAATTGGTCACCTTTGGCACGAATTATGGCCTTCAAACGGCCAACGAAACCGTCACACCCTGCCCGAATATTGCTCTGCGGTATTTTGGTCCATTCCCGGCGAAGCGCTTGCTTGAGGTGATCGACACTATTTTTTAGCGTCAACCTTGATTTCCAAAATACTCCAGACACAATAGTCTACTTTCGGCCAAGCGAAACAACTCTTTAGCTCTATTTCCTTTCTGTTGCGGTGTAAGTTCTTGCACTTTTGAATTTCATTCGCTTTATCCCGAGCTCATTTTTCAACATATGTCGAATGGAATATTGCGATATGTTCAGCTCTCGGCCAGTGCGTCGCGGGTTTCGATCAAGTTGCTTCTTTACTTTTCGAACCATTTCTGCAGATGTTGCTTTTTTCTTTCGTCCACTTCCTTGACGTCGGGCTACGCTACCAGTATAACGAGCGATGGTACGAGACACAAAAGATTTATTCACATTTAAATGCTGGAGTGCTCTAACGATAGCAACTTGTGCTTTTCCAGCCAAAAATATAAAGAAATCAAACTAGCACTCTTGAATTCCATTACGAATAAATTTTTTTCTCACCAAAATGCTTTTGTACGCTTGTAAACACTTGAATAATTTTAACAGCTGTCGGCCGAGTGGCTTAGAAATGACAGCAGTCTAAGGTTAGTTGCAGTTTTTCATCTCACCCTGTATATTTGGAAATTTTCTGGAATCTGTCCAGCGGTTTTTGAGACATAATATAGAAGAAGAAGATGTATAATTCTTGGGGGAAACATTTTTGTATTTGTGAAGGAAAGACAAAAACCTATTGGCAACACTCTGCTCCCTGTAAAGAGCATGATACACATAAATAGAGAGGGAGAGTAAATACAAATACAACTCGTTTCTAGGGAGTGAGAGAAGTCGTTCATTTGTTATTTTGTTTTTATTTCTACGTTTTACTCTTATTCGCCCATTCAGTTTGATTCATTGTTTGAGCGTTGTTTATTTATTTTTCGCTTTAGTTTTTACCTTCCTCATACATTTAATTTTGCACACAAACGCCACTAGTTTGTTGTTAAATTTTATCTTTTCTTTTATTCATTTCTATTGTGGGCTTAGTGCTCTACTAACTGTTGACGTTTATGTCAACAATTAAAAGGGAGGGTGAGGAGATTACTTGCAGCACTGAGAGAAATTCTATGTGAGTTTCTACGAACACCCTATTTTAGTTCAAAAAATTATTTGCTATAGTGTTAGGAATGTAACTGATGGATTTCAATTGTTTTTAGTCATTTTCCGTTAATTTCAAACATTTGAATTGTTACGTATATCCCTAAGCCGTAACTTTATTTGGAATCAGTTTGCTACTCAGATATGTAGCTTCTTCTATGAACATTATAGACAAATGTAAGAATAGTATTAAGAGAACTTAAGTTTGTTAAGGTATATACTAAAAGTACCTGAAATAACCTCAAGACCATAGGTGATATCAGGCATTAAAATGTCTGGCTCATTCTACGTTTAATTCGTAAAGGTAGATATAAGTTACAGCATAAATTTTACGCAAAGAGGCATTATGGTACCTAAAAGAAAGTCCACAAGATATTTATTCCTGCCTAAAAATTGTATTCATACATTTTGAGCACACGTGTAAATAAGAAGCCGGAAAAGACTTACATTAAACTTTGATAAGTTAATGAGACAACAATTTTTTTAACGGTCCTATCAACCTAATTCCGAAGACTACTATTAACATTAATAAATTAAAGTAAAATAATTTATTAGCAAACTTTAAGGTACTGCAATTATTCCAGTGACGGCTCATTATATTGTTTACAAGCGTACAAAAGCATTTTGGTGAGAATTTTCCAGCAAAAATGTTACTCGTGATCGAATTCAAGCGTGAATTGCTCTAACGATAGCACTCCAGCATTTAAATGTGAATAAATCTTTTGTGTCTCGTACCATCGCTAGTTACTTGTTACCGTAATACTGGTAGCGTAGCCCGACGTCAAGGAAGTGGACGAAAGAAAACAGCAACATCAGCAGAAATGGTTCGAAAAGTAAAGAAGCGACTTGATCGAAACCCAAAAAATGGTTCGTGAGCTTAACATATCGCAATACTCCATTCGGCAAATATTGAAAAATGAGCTCGTGGTAAAGCCATTGAAATTCCAAAAAGTGCGAGAACTTACACCGCAACAGAAAGGAAATAGAGTCAAAAGAGCTAAAGAGTTGCTTCGCTTGGCTGAAAGTGGTGAACTGCCGATTTCGGGTTTCTCCGATGAGAAAACATTCGTTGGCCAGCAGTTTTTAAACAAACAAAATGATCGTGTTTACTTGCCAAAGAGTCAGCTAAAAATGTTCACCTTCGGTTGGCCACCAGAACTCAAGCGCCGGCCATAGTGATGTTGGGGCCGCCATAACAGCCGATTGTCGCTCTCCGCTCGTATTAATCGACCGTGGCATCAAAATAAATGCCGAATATTATCGCGAAAATATTCTAGAGGGTGTATTAAAGCCTTAGACACGCAAACATTTTGGCTGCAGACCTTAGACATTGCAACAGGATTCAGCACCATCGCACTCAGCACGCTCCACTCAAGAATGGTTACAAAATGAGGTTCCTCGTTTCATTTCCAGTGCACAATGGCCACCAAAATCTCCGGATACCAATCCGTGTTTGGAGTATTTTGGAAAGCAAGGTTGACACTAAAAAATACCAAAGTGTCGATCACCTCAAGCAAGCGCTTCGCCGGGAATGGGCCAAAATAATGCCCTGCGACATTCGGACAGCGTGTGACGGTTTTATTGGCCGTTTGAAGGCCATAATTCGTGCCAAAGGTGACCAACTCGAACAAATCTAAACTTATTCTAAAAGTTAATGCTATTTCCGGCAATTTTTGCTTTCATTCAATAACATTTAAAAAAAAAATGTAAAAATGATGGCGTTTGACTTTATTGGAATTTTTTTCTCAACCTGTAGGTTTGCTAAAAACATTTCCTTTCTAGCCAAACCAACCTAGTAAACACCTTTTCAAACCCTTTCTTTTATTTTCTATATTCCCTTCTATTACATCTCTAATTATTTTTCCCAGGATGAATACAATAAGCCAAAGGCCTCCGAGTGAAGACTCCAGCGCATCCATAAAACTAGTCAAACTATCTCGTAATAGAAGGAGCAGAATTTGCTCTTTCAATA